GCTGCTTCCCTAATCAATGCAAAAGATCAAGTCGAATCAATTGGAAAAAGCGTGGGGTCTACATTAGCGAATTTATTATAATGTTTAATTCAGCATCAACCCATACATATACAGTGTTAAATTTGATTCATCTAAATTTGTTATCGCTTCTTTCGTTTCACCGTCTGAACGTTGACACCACCCATATTGTTCGTTCACCTGCGTGCTGTCAATGTCCTCTTGATACTGATCAATGGTGATTGTTGACTCGGGGTCCCCCAGTATGGAACCCCACTGGTAGTCGATGTGCCTCTTGATATGAGGACGTTTGAGCACGGGAGACGGGTGATGATGATGAAGGGAAATTTCGGTAGTAATGATAATTGCGGGAAGGGGATTGTGTTTCGTTTATAAAAGTACACTCCACATACAATGTTTGGAGGGGTTGGACATGGAGTGTACTGTTGACTAAAAGGAGAGGAGAGCGGGAAGGGGATTGTGTTTCGTAATTATAAAAGTACACTCCTTATCCATTGTTTGGAGGGGTTGGACATGGAGTGTACTGTTGGCTTAAAGGAGCGGAAGGGGAGTGATTATAAAAGTACACTCCATATCCAACGTTTGGAGGGATTGGACATGGAGTTATTTGTTATCATAACCGTTCATCGAACCATTTTACTTACGCATCTGGAAATAATCTCCCGTCCATCAATCCACACCATAACGTCACCACTATTTATAAGACTATATGCGTTCCCCGTAAACATCCCGACATTCTAACCAGATATGTATTAATGTTAATAAGGAATTAAGCACAAGAATATAATATGATGTCGCGTACCTTCGCAACCATGAGTTTTACCCCAGTGCCAAAAAGTTTCTATTAAAATCAATAAGAATATTAGTAAGTGTGCTCATCTACTTTTCTAGACTATTCAGAAATACCTACTATATCCGCTGCCTTCTCACCAATTCTTGGTATGCTTTCCCAGTCCGTCATTCATCGCCTCCCGCTCCCCATTCTCATGCCCCTATAAAAATTTATACTTCAGTCGATTGTATGATAACACAAAATGCAACTGATATACTTGATAAAAACTCATGCATTTCCATCTCCTTTCCACTGAGATACGTGACTACCGTTATATTCATACCAGCAATGCCGAGCAGATCTTGTATAAAATTGCGGCCTGAATAGTGAAAGTAAATTTATTTTGGTCATTAGAGAATTTTATAGTAGTAATAAAGAGTTTTGACTGTGTATCCTTCGATGTCTACAGAGCTGGCATTCTTTATTCCGTAGCCTAGGACATGCATGACGCACGATGAGCCCCCATGTCAGAACCATCTCAACCAACGTCACGCTCGGCATCATTGTTGACAATAAAATAATAATACTCACCTTATGATTGTTTTAAAAGTTCTTAATACACTTTCAAGTTTTTTGTTTCTTTCATGTGCCTGCCTTTATGGCATCCTCGAGCTGAGTTCGGTATGCCGCTGATGCTGAAACTTTTCATTGGTTGATCTTAAATCCCATTGGTTAGTAGCATCAGAAAAGCCACATATACCACGTGATATGTTTCGTGCGACAGACCCGGACGCGCAAAAATATCTGACTTATTGCTTATTACTCTTCAGTAGTTAAAACAGGTCGGTTTGAAATTTGACTTGTGTCAATAATGGACTTTATCTAAACAAAGTTTATTTCTACGTTTTTTCATGCCTAAAATTTTGCAGCGAATGAATTGATGAAGGAAAGCGTAGGGTAAATATGCTTATAATGTGCGATTTCATAATACCAGCACTAGCATTTGTCGCATGCAATTTAGACGATAAAATTATTGGTTGTTAAGGTAATAGAGGGACTGATATGTGCAAACATTTTTCTTCCATTTCCAGTACGAAAGAGATTTGATATAGGAAGAAGAGGCTGTATGTATATAATACTCTGTCCATACTTGCTCATCGGTCAAATTAGCCCAAGTCATTTAATATTAATTCTTTGCCTTTTTCAGATAATTCGATGACTGGAGACAAGAGACGTGATTTCAACGGAAGCCATGGAAAGGCTTAGAATGCTGGAAATGATTGCGGTAATATATTAATTTGCAGTCATCACATGGTATAGTACATAAATTGTGATGTCGCTCGTACATTATCCTGACGCGAACGTTTGGTTCATGATTATTTTCGTTCCACCTAGGCAGCACGAAACTTCCAAAAATTTGTGGGAAGGGATTCCTTTCTTTTAGTGGCAGCACGTCAGAAATTCATCCACTGGAAATTACGTTTAACGAAAACCGTCAAGACTTGTGGAGCATTAAAACATCCTCTTCGCGACCGCCAATTCTTTCCAAATCGTCAGTCTGTCTTTTTCCACCTCAATCAACCAATGACATCTCTTCAATCATCGGCATCTCCCAAACACTTTTTCGTATCGATGATGATTACAATGCCAGGGTCCGTCTGACAGATGAGCAAAAGGAGGCCAAAAAACAGCAGTTCTTTTCCATGAGAAAAGTCGAAGGCTCGTGGCATGCTTGAAAATGAATATGGGGGGTTGTACTTCGTAGTTTCAGACGACTGCCCGATGGCAATAGTTTCGAAAACGTCCCAACTCACATACTTACGAGACCAGGATCTACAGGACGAGAGGTTGGCTGGTACTTCCAGCAACCCATGAGCAAGACTACAAGGGATGCTATCCATTGATGGTCATATTATAAGCCCTGGTCAATTGTACGTTCATATTTGATTTAAGTCGCAGTGTTGGTTTCGTAAGATGAAAATCAATTAACCTAATACACTTTATAATGAAATTTGCGTCATTACTACAGACTAGACTGTGTTTACCTCTTAGAAGGTAACTAGATGTCCCTGCATTATCGAACATTGTCACTGAGTTTTAATCACTATTACTCAAACTTTTCGATTGCATAATTTTAGTCTCGGAAAAACTGTCAGGAAGTTTCCCCAGGATATAGAACGGGTATATTGGGAATATTGCGAATAAAACGGCCAGAAGTATCGTAGCAAAGGACACATATATTCCATGACGTGTAAGTGAGCGAAAGGAATTCCTTTTGACAAATACTTGCGTGTTCTACTACCTGCTTTAACCAAAGTAACGTCGCAAAGTCTAACTTATATATTCTAATAGGGCAGTCATAGTACTAACAATGGAGAAAATTTGGACAACTCGCAAATAACCTAATTTAATGATTAAGATGCGATCATAAATTAGTCGAGTACCTTGGTGAAGTGAGCGGAACGTCGCATAATAGTGCAGAACGTTTGAAATACATGCTCGCGTGCGCAACGCCAAACAGGACGACTACGAAACGTCATCGATATTAGTTTTGTGCTACTAAATTAGGTAGCATACCCATGGGAGAGAGTATCGGATGTGGACTGGAATGTTCTTGATGGGCACCAACGCAACCAATGTTCCGTTACGTAAAAACGAAATAATCCACGGTTAAGCAATCTATGATAGATATGCAGTCATGTCCATAATTACAAACGCCCTTCTATACTCCGCCTTACACTGATGAATTTTCCTTCCCATTATCGGTGAAAATATCCACAAAATGATAAGACAATTATTCGTAGTTATTATCTTCACTTACATAACCGCAACACTCTTACCAGCCAATGTCACAATCGGATGCTATAATGAAAAAGAAAACACCAACTGTAATCGAATTTCTTGAAGAGCTTGATAAAAAACGCGGTGAGGGTGCGTTTACCCAGTTTCTAGACATTGTCTTGGAGCACAGAATTGATGTGTAGTAACATTGTTGCGATTATCTTTTCCTCATATCCATGTTTGGCCTTCCGCATGGGGCTCTCTCAATATACGTTCCCATAAACGTTTACAATAACAACATTGTTTTTCATACGACACATAACTATGCGTGTGCGACAAACTAGCAGCAAAGCGAAAATAGTGTCAGAGAAACCGTTTGAAATTTCAACATTTCGAAGCCAATTCTAATCCCTAGTCTTTGCACCACCGCGCATTGTAATCTGGAATAGAAGCCACCACGAGAATGACGAACGTGGACGACTTATAAAGGCTAATTCACCCCAAATTCAAATCTCGATAGACAAACTCTGCCAAGGACGTGTCGATGGTATCGACTGAAGACTAGGATAGATCGGATGGGTAATCTCAATGAATTCGACTATCACAAATATGGATCGCACAGGTCAATAGCTAATTTAAACAATCTAACAGAACAAACTTTACCTAATGACGAAGTAGCAGGCCCGGAGAAAAGGTGGACGGGTGAACATATCATTGCGAATTGGGTCGCCCGCCTTATAATTTGTGACAACGATGCCAGAATAAGAATAGGCGCTCTACGCTGACACTGAATATAGGCTATGTAAAACTGCGCGTATAGCTTCGCAGTCGAGATTGATTCCGTCTTGGAACGTAAAGAGCCCACATAATCAATCATACATAACTCCCACTTACTCATAAAACACAGAGACTGTTCCTATCGATGAAAACATGGCAGACAAAACCAGGCCATGGCATGTTCGATCGAATATGAACCACAACGCAATCGTTTGAAGGAGTACGTATTACTAGCGTCAGACAATTTGTGGTGCAAACTTTATCCAAAGTTGACTCATTTCGCCCATTAGTCGATACCTTATATAACTCTGTTTCTCAATAATGACGTGATTTCCATTAAGAGGGACAAGGCTTTACACAAACGCAGGTGAAGTAGAAGGAAAACGTTATGCTGTTAGGATAGGATATTTCAGAGGAAAGGATGTCCGAATGTATGATACTCCAGGATTGGGCTGCTTCGAATACAACAATGTATCATTGGATTTATATAGCTTTTCATGTTTCTAACTATATAATTCATCTCCTTTCAGATTTAAATAATTTGAATCCGACAATCCAAAAACAATTCACATATGCAAGGACGATGGTATCAGTTGCTCAAGAACATAGAATGAGAGGTTTTTACGATTTTACATTCAGCAGTTATTATCTGTAGGGACTTATGATAGGATCGCTGACTTGCCTTTCCACAACCCTAATCCAACCACGTCACGCAACGCCCATGTTGCCTACAGATTTGCTTATGGACTGGCTCTTTGTTCCTCTCGCCATCCATTCAATACACATCGAACGATAAAAGCAATTGATTCTGTCTCTGTAATCTGTGTTGGAGATGGGACTCATTGACTTGTGTTGGACCAAAGGTAACTCGCGCAAACTATACATATCCCTAAGTCGATTTGCCTAATTTACCACCGTTTTGTATGTTAGAGATGAACAGGGTTTCAAAAAAAGGAAATTGGTATTGGCGAAAACGTATTTATTCACGCCCCCGACAAAAGCTTTTACAATGTCCTTCCGACCCACCCCCCTCCTCGCTTCCTCAATAATCGACCTAATTACTCTTCCTCAAACAATCGTAATAATAACCCCAACGATTGTAGCGAACATGATAGCGGTCGCTATTTAACTCTCCGTCTGAACTGAGAGAATTTTGAACTGCCTTTACAATACACCTCTCTTATAGGTAAGTTTCGCGTTGAATAAATATATGTTAATTTGTTGGACTGTTTTAAGTAACAATGATACGAGTGCTAATACCAAAATATTTAATCTACAGACCTCCACCCAACAACAAATTTTGGGACCAGAAACGAAGACTTCGTGCAAGGATTTTTGGATATATATTTTAGTCTCTCGTGCCTTCCAAATTCATTTTTTCTTTGCTAAATTATAAATGTCTATGCCCGCAGCAGAATAGTAACAGTCTTTCACATGAACATGGAAACATGTTTAGTGACTGCTATCTTAGTATTCCACATGCTCCTGAATCCAGTAAACGAAATTCATCTTGAACATCAAAATCACCTTCAGGAGTAGGGATAATTTTTACTGTTTTAACGTCATCCATATAATGACTTTCTGCCTTTCAAATTCATCATTTTTTCTTTGCTAAATGTCTATGTCTGCAGCAGAATGGGAACAATCTTTCACATGAACATGGAAACATTGCTATCTATATCCGAGTCTTCCACATGCTCCTGAGTCCATCGATCACCACATTTTATTCGCTATTATCACATAACCAATAGCCTATTTCGAATTTCGACACGAACAGTGAAATCGCTTTAACGGTCTCCAAAACTTCGTTAAAGCGGACTTTTATCTCTATAATAATAACGAATTATATATATGATCACATGAACTTCAAAGTTAACAAAATCCTCCAAACGTGTCTGTTTTTTCGCTATTATACTTTTTTCAATGAATTGATTCATCAACTGCTAATCACCTACCTATCTTTCGACTCGAGAATTTCGCTAACAGTCGATTCACCAATTTTATACATAGTCAACCTCGTTAATCCGAAGCTCATGGGGGACCAAAGCTTAACTTCGGATTAACGAGGTATTCAGATTAATATTAACGAGATTTTCTTCACAATCCGAATCTACCATAGAACAAATGATCATTCGGTTTACATTATTACATTAATATTAAGAACCGAACTCTAATTCTTACTTAGAAAAAGAATGCTGTTGTCCCATATTACAACAAACTAGTTAACAATCGACGTTTATTAATTGTATCAATTGACGGAATTTTGCTTTTGTTAGTTTATTATTGAAAATAAAATCGAATTGCAAGCGTTATTGATGGGATCTTTAATCTTCGGATTAAAAAAAAAACTTCGGACTAGCAAGAATATCTTCGGGTTAAAGGGTAAATTTAATACGCCATTTCTCCCACCTGGATTTGGATTACGGATTATAGTGATTGTTTATTATAAAATTTCGGATTATCGAGGTAATTTCATCATTAGTTAATGAATTCGGATTAGCGAGGTTCGGGTTAACGAGGTTGACTATGAACTCTGCTGCAATTTCAACGTTTTTCAAAAGCGGTTTTTTTCTTCCAGTTAACTGAAAGTTTTATTTCTTGGATTTTTTGGCAGTTTTTCTGAAACTGTTCAAAAACAATTGTGTCTGGTAATAGTAAGGAAAATATTAATACAAACAAATGAAACATGACATTCCATCTTATGAATTTCTCCCAATTGATACACAATATTCCACAAAAAGTTAAGGTTTATCTTTCCCAGCCACGACAATTGGGCTTTGCCAAATTGGTGTGGTCATGTCGAGTTGTTAATATTTTGATTAGCAAAAAAATGATTGTAAGATCTTCATAATTTGAGCCATTACTATGATTGAGAATGAGAAAATAGCAGGACACTGAGGATAACTGTTTAAATGACATCTAAAAACCAAACTTTGTTCTGCAGATTACTTATCAATTTAATTACTCTCTGAAATTATAATGCTGAATACAGGTAGGAAAATTGCCAGCCTTAAATTATAAATATGATCAACCTCAACAGAGATAATATTAATATTTTCTCAGAATCTTCCCAACACTACACAGTGAAATATGTAAGAGTCTTTTTATCATTTTGTTTGAATACCCATCATGATAACTATAGTTCATCATGATGCAGATATATAATTCTCCAATGTTA